CAGTCAGCGAGGATGATGGGGGTGCAACCTCTCACTATGTCTCAGTCCATGAGTTTTGCTGTGTTGGAGGAGGAGGAGGAGGAGGAGGAGGAGGAGGAGGAGGGGGAGGAGGAGGAGGAGGAGGAAGAGGAAGAGGAGAAGGAGGAAAACGAGGAGGACGAAGAGGAGGAGGAAGAGGAAAGGGAGGAGGAGGAGGAGGAGCTTATAAAAGATATTGAACATCTGAATCTAAAATCCAGTTCTAAAAGGACCGATTCAACAGTTGTTGATGTTTGAAAACTGCCAACACCAACCAGGTTCACGATTCGGACAAAGGTCATCCACACAGTAGTTCAGTATGATATCAAAATGAATTTACTGGACACCCAGGACACAGACCATTTTCTGAAAACATGAGCACAGCCAAACAGAGAGGTGGTTGAACACTTTGACCCAACTAGTCAACTAGCTAAGCCTTTTCTTCTGTAAAAATGATCAGAATAAACAGGAAGCTTTGTGACAACATTGGAATTTTTCAATAAAGAGCTTGGCAAAACACTCAAATGCTTTTTAAAAAATATGAACTGTAAACAAAGAAGAAAATACAGAGAAACTTGGCTAAAGCAGTGATCTGACTTCGTTTTGCTACAAATGACGCCGTTTCCGTACGGGATGCAAACAAACGTAAATCAACAAGAAAACTGCCCCCCCCCCCCTTCCGCGCTTCCCCCCTTCTAAATACAGCCGAACCTGCTCTGGTGGCCACATGTCCAAGACAATCATGTTTATAAATCACCACTTCCTACTTCCCCACTTGCATTTTTTCATATCATAAATATACTGTCTGAGGTTTTCTCCCCCTGACTAAGACAGCCTATGTTTTTCTTCTCCCAAACAATAGGTGACCGACCGTCTGGGATAATTTCGGCGGTACTTTTTCAGGTTCGTTGAACAAATAAAAACAATAATAATAATAATAATAATAATAATAATAATAATAAATAATAATAATGTAGATTATTTATTCTATAGTGCGCACTCCCGTGTGAACACAGCTCTAGGCGCTTTACATAAATGCGTGTACGAACAATATTCACACACGCACACACACACACACACACACACACACACACACACACACACACACACACACTCACATCTACTTGCTTATCACATGCACACGCTCACACATCGTTACGAAATGAGCATATACAAATACATTTTTAAAAAAGTAATATTATTACAATTCAATTCGCAAAATACAAATGGGATGCAAATAAAATTAAACGATGACTTTCCTACCTAGACAGCCTGTAGCGAGTCTCTAAGGGGAGGATAATCACGTTAATGACGCCATTCACCAGGAAACCTTCTATGAAGGCGAAGATACACTGGAATATAACCATTACTCGGATGTTGTTACATCTCTGAAGACATCTGAAAGCAAAGACATTCAAATGAAGGTCAGTTTAATGACAGGCGGAACCTGCTCTGTCGGTCACTTGTCCAAGATAATCACCGCTACCTATTGCGCATTTCTCCGCTCAACAGCAAACTGTGCTTTTAAAATCTCTCTCTCTCTCTCTCTCTCTCTCTCTCTCTCTCTCTCTCTCTCTCTCTCTCTCTCTCTCTCTATATATATATATATATATATATATATATATATATATATATATATATATATATATATATATATATATATATATAACACCAAGGATTAACTGGAAAGCAAAAAAGACGAAAAATGAGTTGTGTCAGATTCTCCACACAAGACAAATTCTGCTCAACAAGATAATATGTAGAAAAATGCAATACTTGGGCCATTTAAAACGACACCAGACCATTGTGAAAGAGGTGCTTAAGGGAGAGAAGTGAGGCAGGAGAGTCAGAGGAATACAATTAAAGAGTTACAAGGATGGACAACATTAAAACACGGACTGGTCTGAGTAGAGCAGAAAATGCAACCACAGCCCGGGAGGGTCATTATATGTCAACCTCTGAATCAAATATGGCACCTCCAGGTACATATCGTATATAAAACCGAGCGAGTCTGTGCCAGAACATACCTTGGTTGAAAAGAGAAACAACCACAGTTGCCTTCCGGCTCCACCCCCTCACCATGAGGAAGACTGCGGCCATTGAGCCTGTCCTCCTCGGGACGTTCCTTCACCTGCATAATAGTCATCGTTATTCGGGGTCACTGAAAGGTCGCTTCACTCCGATGATGTCTGCAAAGACAAAGAGAAAATGAAAAAAAGAGCTTTTAGGGGGCAATAAAAGGCTGTATTACTCCGGGGATATCGATCTGAAAAAATATAGAAAATTGAAAGGGAAAACTTTATGGGCTCCCTGAAAGGTCGTCTTATTCTGGTGCTTTCTGAAAGAAAACAAAGACAAAATAAAAAGAGAGCTTTGCAGGGTCACTGAAAAGTTGTCTGCCTCTGTTGATGTCTCATGCTTGAAAAGCCATAAAGTAGATCCTATACCACCAGGCAACGTTCTTTTTTCGTCAATTGCAGGTTCACTATTCTCGAGGAATGCGGCACTTTCTGATTTTTAAAAATCTATCTATCTATCTATCTATCTATCTATCTATCTATCTATCTATCTATCTATCTATCTATCTATCTATCTATCTATCTATCTATCTATCTATCTATCTTTCTATCTATTCATTCATTCATTCATTCATTCATTTATTTATTTATTCATTCATTTATTTATTTATTTATTTATTTATTTATTTATTTATTTATTTATT